TGCCACCAGAGAGAGGGAGAGACCCTACCTGCACTCACTGGAAGAAGGGATGGGAAGAAGACAGAGTAAGAACACACTCAACAACAAAAAAACCAATATGACACCACCAGAATCTAGAGACTCACCAGCAGAATCTAGGGACTCCACACCAGCAAGATCTGAAAAGCCCAACACAGAGGATGAAGAAGAGATGAACCTAAAAAATTATCTAAGGTAGATGATAGAGACCTTTAAAGAGGAAACAAGAAAATCCCTTAAAGAAATAGAAGAAAAAACAAGCAAAAATTAGATGAAATGGAGGAAAAGATAAACCAAATAGTCAAGAAATAAACAAATCTCTTAAAGAATCTAAAGAAAGCCAAGAAAAAAGAACCAAACAAGTGAAGAAAACACTCGAAACAGTTCAAGGCATGAAAGCTGAAATAGACACAATAAAGAAAACACAGAATGAAGAGATGCTGGAAATAGAAAGGCTGGATAAAGGATCAGGAACTAAAGATGTGAGTATAACCAATAGAATTCAATAGATGGAAGAGAGAATCTCAGTTGTTGAAGATTTGCTAGAGGATATACAGTCATCGATCAAAGAACATCTCAAGTCTAACAAATCCCTAACACAAAATATCCAGGAAATATGGGACACAGTGAAAAGGCCAAACCTAATAATAATAGGTACAGAAGAAGGTGAAGAAATACAGTTCAAAGGCACAAAAACATATTCAACAAAGACATAGAAGAAAACTCCCCCACAACCTACAGAAGGATATGCCTATGAAAGGACAAGAAGCCTACAGAACACCAAACAGACTGGACCACAAAAAGAAATACCATTGACATATAATAATCAAAACACCAAACCTACAGAATAAAGAGAAAATATTAAGAGCAGCAAAAGAGAAAGTCCAAGTAACATATAACGGCAGACCTATCAGAATCACACCCGACTTCTCAATGTAAACTTTGAAAGCCAGAAGGTCCAGGATAGATATCCTACAAACACTAAGGGAGCATGGATGCCAGCCCAGACTACTGAACCTAGCAAAACTTTCAGTCACTATACATGGAGAAAACCAGATATTCCATGACAAAACCAGACTTAAACAATACATATCCACAAATCCAGCACTACAGAAAGTTCTGGAAGGAAAACTCTAACCCAACAAAGATGACTACACTCATAAAAACATAGGCAATAGATAATCCAATTTCACCAAACACGAAAAGAAACAGGAAGGTTAAATCCACACACAATGATACCACCAACAATAAATCCAAAACAAACAAGAACCATCAATCAATGGACATTAACATCCCTCAAAGTCAATGGTCTTAACCTGCCTATAAAATGATACAGGCTAACAGAATGGATATGAAGACAGAATCCATCCTTCTGCTGTTTACAAGAAACACACCTCAACTTCAAAGACAGGCATTACCTCAGAGTAAAGGGTTGGGAAAGATTTTCCAATCAAATGGGTCCAAGAAACAAGCTGGTGTAGCAATCCTAATATCTAACAAATTAGACTTCAAACTACAATCAATCAAAAAAGTTGAAGAAGGGCATTTCATACTCATCACAGGAAAAGTCTATCAAGATGAAGTCTCAATCAAGAACATCTATGCCCCAAATACTAAGGCATCCACATTTGTAAAAGAAACATTACTAAAGCTCAAATCACACATAAAACCACACACACTTATAGTAGGAGACTTCAACACCCTACTCTCACCACTAGACAGGACCACCAGGCAGAAACTTAGCAAGAAACAAAGGATCTAACAGAACTTATGACCCAACTGGGTTTAACAGATACCTATAGAACATTCCATCCAAACACAAAAGAATAAACCTTCTTCCCAGCACCACAGCCCCATGGAACCTTCTCTAAAATTGACCTCATAGTTGGCAACAAAGCAAACTTCCACAGATACAAAAGAATTAAAATAAGCCCCTGTATCCTATCAGATCACCATGCTTTAAAGCTAGAACTCAACAGAAATACAAATTGCAGAAAACCTTCAAACGCATGGAAATTGAATAACACTCAATTGCACCATTCCTGGGTTGAGGAAGAAGTAAAAAAAGAAATTAAAGACTTCCTAGAATTTAATGAGAATGTAGTAGACACAACAGACCCAAATTTATGGAACATTCTGAAAGCAGTGCTAAGAGGAAAGTTCATAGCACTAAGTGCCCACATGAAGAAACTGGAGAAAACTCACACTAGAGAACTGACAGAACAACAGAAAGCTTTAGAACAAAAAGAAGCAAACTTACCAAGGAGGAGTAGACTCCAGGAAATAATCAAACTGAGGGCTGAAATCAATAAGGTAGAAACTTGGAAAACATTACAAAGAATCAATGAAACAAAGAGGTGGTTCTTTGAGAAGATAAACAAGATAAACAAAAACCTCTATCCAAACTAACCAAAAGGCAGAGAGAGAGCATGCTAATTAACAAAATCAGAAACAAAAAGGGGGATATAACAACGGACACTGAGGAAATACAGAGAATCTTCAGGTCATACTTTGAAAACCTGTACTCCACAAAATTCGAAAATCTAAAGAAATTGGAAAATTTTCTAAATAGATATTACTTACCAAAATTAAACCAAGAACAGATAAGCAGTTTAAATCGACCTATAATCCCTAATGAAATAGAAGCAGTCATCAAAAGTCTCCCAACCAAAAAAAGCACAGGGCCAGATGGCTTCACTGAAGAATGCTACCAGAAATTCAAACAAGAGCTAATACCAGTACTCCTCAAATTGTTCCACACATTACAAGAAGAAGGGACATTGCCAAACTCTTTTTATGAGGCTACGATCACTTTGATACCCAAGCCACACAAAGATATAATTAAAAAAGAGAACTACAGACCAATATCCCTCTTGAACATTGATGCAAAAATACCCAACAAAACACTGGCAAATTGAATCCAAGAACACATCAGAAAAATCATCCACTGTGAACAAGTAGGCTTCACCCCAGGGATACAAGGATGGTTCAACATATGAAAATCCATCAATGTAATCCACCATATAAACAAACTGAAAAAGAAAAACCACATGACCATCTCACTAGATGCTGAAAAGGCCATTGACAAAAGCCAACATCCCTTCATGATAAAGACCTTGGAGAGAACAGGAATAACAGGAACATGTCTAAACATGATAAAGGCAATATACACCAAACCAACAGCCAACATCAAACTAAATGGAGAGAAACTCAAGCGATTCCTCTAAAATCAGGAACAAGCTAAGGCTGTCCACTCTCTCCATATCTCTTCAATATTGTACTAGGTATAAATGGCATCTCATGACTCAAAGAAACATAAAATTACTGAAGTACTTAATTTGTGGAGGTAGTAGGAAGTGGATGACGCTTGATGAGAAGGTGATAAAAATGAAAGAGGAAGGGATCCAGAGTATGTGGGGAGTCAGAGGAGGAAAAAGAGTATTTGTCTCATGGTAATGCTTTGTCTAATATGTACAGATTCAATGTATTTTTATTCCAAACCAGCATGTGTGGTGAAGTGAAGCACTAATTCATCTGTTAATATCCTTTTACAATCCATGTTGCTCTTTAATAACAGTTTAGTTCTGTTTATAGATGAATTTTATAGATGTCATTAAATTAGACTTAGTTACACCTGCCTTTTCTGATATTGGACATAGCTCAACATGGACTAGAACAAGAAAAGTTTCAGGAATATGACCTGGTTATTTTAATGTAAACTTTATATAAGCTAGAGTAATTTGGGAAGAGAGACTCAGAAAATGTATGGCTTGTAAACAAGTGTGTAGAATATTTTCTTAATTAGTGGTTGATGTGGGGGCACACATGGGAGGCACAAGTTCTAGACAGGTGAACCTTTGGTGTAGAAGAAAGTAGGCAGTGCAAATAGTGGTAATGAAATATTTTGAACACATATTATTCTCTCTCCCACTGATATGGAGCCCAGAAACTGTAGACCCAGCTCTGTGTTCTGTTCTAGTTTTTTACCCCATAAATCATTCATATCAAAGCACAATGGAGAAAAGAAGAAAGATACACTCTAGTAAAATAACTTCAGTACAATAGATCATGGTGAAGAATTTAAATGAAAGTTGTGCTGTGCCTAGAATTGAATGAACTTCATTCATGAATATGTTAATTATGAGTTGAAATTTTAAGAAGTTTGAAATACCACAACTTCATACTCACTGTCACCAATTTAAAGGCTCTAGGTGTTATGGAGTGTAACCTAAATTTTAGTTCTCCTTGTTCTTTCCTCTCTATAAATATCTGTGTGAATATGTTCTTTGGAAGATCTTCTCTACAAGGGACAGTGGCTTTGATTACAGTGAACTCTGACATTTGCTAAGAAACCAAACATTTGAAAAGCTCTCAAGATGGATATGGTCCCAAAATTTTTCAGAGCTTGGCATGCCTGTGATCTGTCATGTGGTGTACTTTTCAAAAGGTATGTCTACAAAGAAAATTCCAAAACTGTTAGTGGAATATCTCTGTGTTAATATTTCTCAAAAAAAAAAAAAGGCTGGCTTGGCAGTAGTGACTAGATAAAGTCCCTCTGAGCCACAAGCTCTATATCACGTGACTGTTCATCCCACTTTGCTCTCACATACCCTATGTTATGGTCCCTGTTTTGGGTTAACTTGTGTAATAGCTTCATTGAAAAAGCCAGATAATGATTTTGATTAAGTTAAGAGAAGATCCAAATACATTTCCATGATATTTTTCAGGAAGTGGCAGACAATTATTTAAGTTTCATGAAAAGCTAAGGGGCAGAAAGGTAGTTTTCTGAACAGTTTGGGTAATTACTTTGAATTTCATTTAAGCTGTCTTTTGGAAAGTACAGAGATATTTCTGAGTCTTATAGGATGACATGACCAACTTTCAAGTAAGGAAGGTGACAGATACACATATTATCCAATAACCTGAGTTTACATGGAGACATGTACTGTATCAAGCTAATACCTACTTCCCAGCAGGTTTAAATGTGGTGGCTACTGAAAACAATTTGCCTTGTTCATGTAATTGGAAACATACTTTGTTTGTTGAAACCCAAACCGAAGAACCCCGAAGCCAATATGAATGTTGTAAGTTATTGTTATTAATCAACACACTTTAAAGATTCACCACTATTAGTTTCACTCATTCTTTCCCAACTGTTGCATGTATGATAATCTGAAATTTATCTTTACACAGAAATTGTTACTATACTCTCTAAAGGCAATTTACTGAAGAATCACAAAAGTTTCCAGATGACCCAACTAATGAAAGTCATTGTGTTTTTTCTTCCACATTTAGAGTGAGATTATTTCCTATTGGGGCTATAAATGGGAAGTGTATGAAGTTGTGAGTGGTGATGGTTACATTCTTCCAATTTATCGGATTCCACGTGGGAAGAATGAGATCATGGATTCATGTAACGGTGAGTGACAAGTACTGAGATTTAAATGCATTCTGTGAAAATCCCTCCATCAGTTACCTCTAATAAGAAGCTTCCAATCCTCCCTGGATTCCACATGCAAATCAGGAGTATGTGTGATACCTGCCATGGTAGTTCCTATTACTACACAAATAAACACCATCTGTCTCATAAATTTAGATTTTGCAGAGGATAAAAGCTCAGAATCCCTGCCTAAAAAGCCAAGAACCTCTAAGCCCACTGACACTGTAATGCTTGAGTTACTGCTGTGAGAGTTTACAATATCCTTCTAAGTGATGATTGCTGCTCCTGGTTCATTCTGACTATATGTTTAGATGTCCCACATACGATATTCATGTTCAATGACTTATTGTTGTAGTTATTTATTATATAATTTTTATATTGTCTTTTGCCTTACATGAGTTTAAACTTTTTCTAGAAAATAATAAAGCTTGAAAATTTTATAAATTAAAAACCTTTGGGAAATTCATATCTATTCAATAAGGAATAGGAAGAAAATGGGATCCAATGAGCACAGTGATTATTTTACTCTGAAGAAAATGCATGATATTTATGTATGAGGATAACCAGCTGTTAACACTTCTATTCAATTTACATCTTCATTATGGCAAACACGCCAACAAACAAAAGACAAGCCTTGTTGCCTTTAATCACAGCACTAGGGAGGCAGAAGCAGGTGGATCTGATGAGTTCGAGGCCACCCCGGTTGACATAACAAGTTCCAGGCCATTCAGGCTTATACATGGAGACAGTATCACGAAACAAAAACAAACAAGCAAAAACCCGAATCCAACAGTTCTATGATGAGTGAAAATATTATCAAGTGTTTTTTAGGAAGGAAATAGATGTCAAAGAGGATAAATGGAAGATGCAAATATGAGAAAACTGAAATGACATACATGCATAAAAATATAATAAGCTCCATTATTTTGTGTTCATAAAAATCAATAAAAAATAACAAATATGTTTTCTTTTCAGCCCCAAAGACAGTAGTGTATTTGCAGCATGGCTTGACTCTATCTGCTTCTTCTTGGATTCTCAACCCTCCCAGTAGCAGCTTGGGCTTCCTTCTGGCAGATGCTAATTTTGATGTGTGGCTGGGGAACAGCAGAGGCAATAATTATGCCATGAAACATGTGTACCTAGACCCAAATTGTAAAGCATTCTGGGATTTTAGGTAAGAGGAAAGATCTTTTATCTTGGTATGTTTTCCTTAAAGCTATGTTTAACACTTATAAGTTGTCACAAATTTACTCAACTTGACTAAAATAACTTCATCAAAATGTCATCAGAATAATATTTTGAATAATATATGATTTACTTTTAGTGTGTGTGTCTATGGGTCTTTGTGTATGTGTATGTATGTGTGTATGCATGTGTGTGTGCATGTAGTATATGTGTGTGTGTATGTGTATGTATGTGTTTATGTGCGTGTATGTGTGTGTGTATGTGCGTGAGTGTGTGTATGTGTGTGTATGTGTGTATGTATGTGTGTATATATGTGTGTGTGTATTGTGTGTGTGTGTGTATGTGTGTTTGTATGTGTATGGATGTGTGTGTGTGTGTGTGTATGTGTGGTGTATTTGTGTGTGTGTGTGTGTGTGTGTGTGTGTGTGTGTGTGTGTGTATACGGAGCCCATTGGTCCCAGGATTTGCATCCATCATCCTAGAACTGGAGTTTAGATGTCTGTGAGATGTTATTGAGACAAGTAAGTCTCCTGAAGCATGGAGACATCTCCAGCTCCTTGAATGAATGATATTTTAAAAGGTTGATAGGTAAATGTTTGCCTAAAATTTTATATTATTAATTTAAAGATAAAAGCAAATTTTAAATATCATTTCTATATATCTCCTTACTTGTAATTACTAATCAATTTGCTATTTTGTCTCCTTCTTTTAGGAAATATTTCACTGAGGTATGTTTGAATAGATAAAGCGTTCATATTTTGTGAATACAACTTGATGAGCATATGCTTAACTTCTAATCATCTATATTTTTTATTTTTTACTTTTGATGAGGCTTTTATTTTATGAAAACAAAAACAGGGAAGGAATAAAAGGAACAAAATGTACAAGGTTCATTTCTATCACAAAATGTCAGAAAATCATTGAGAAATTTCTTCCTGTTTCCATTTTTGAAGATACTCTAACTTTATTGATCATTGTAACATGTCTTACTCACACACAAATAAAAACTAGACATACATATGTCATGGAAATATTATCTGGTATATTATCTAATAAATTCAGATGTAGAACAAATGCAATTAGGGATATAGTAAGTCACTTAAATAGCTCTGATCTTGACTCTGTTTAAATGGACCAAACAAAAGATCATTTCAAAGCATTGTGAGCATTGTAGAAAATTGGGGTGTGTGATGGGGAGCATGATGCAGAGCATGCAGTAGATATTTGATTAGTGTTATCTCAATACCCATGCGTCCCTATGGAAATTTTTTTCAAGTCACGGTTTCCCCTGAAAAGATAATGATCAATTATTATAATTAACCAAACTCCTTAATTTCTGTTTCACACAGTTTTAATGAACAAATAAAATTTGACATTCCAGCCATCATTGATTTCATTGTGAACAAGACAGGACAGAAACAAATCTACTATGTTGGCCATTCCCAGGGCACCCTTCTTGGTATGCTGAGAGAGACTAAAATCTGCCCATCTTGTAATTTTTAATTGTAAACCACATAAGCATTCTTTAAAAATAACTTCATTTATAGAAATGACATTTTGTCAGTATTTACAAACATTCAGACTAGCCAAAAAATGAATTCATTTGTTGCAGTGGTTTAATTTGCTAACAGACAGCCATGTTTGTTGTTGTTTGGCACAGAGTATTGCTGCCTACCCCGGCTGGGTTCCACCATGCAAGCCTCTGACTCCACTTCTCAAATGGTTGATTACAGGCATGGCTGATTGCACTTGGCTAATCTTCAAAATAGCAGATAGAATAATAGATACATTCATTATCTGCTCTTTAAAATAATCATCATTTCAAAGAAATGAGATATGTGAACAATGCAAAAATGTGATAGAGTCACTTGGGATTCTTAGCACTTTCCAAAACTAAGCTTAACAAATTGTTTTTTGATATCCTTAACTGATTTCTGAGGTCCCAGTGAGCATCCACAGAGCTTTGAGTAGTATTTTGCTGGAATAATCTGAGGCATGCTAATTTACATAATGTGACTACAAGAAAAAATGCATGCTTCCAAACCTTATACTCCCTGGAAAAACATTTCTAAACAATTTGCATGCAACTGGTTTGAAAATAGCCTTCTTACTGCTTGAGTACTTTGCTGGCAGTTAGCTACCATGCACATAGTACACTAAGGAAATTTACTTCTCCTGAAACTCACAGTCTATTTAGGAAAGATAAGGGATCAATAGCACAGGCCCTCATATTTACTGGGCCACATGTTTTCTCTTGAGGATGTCTTTGGAGGATATACATTCTATGAGGCTAAATGGTATCTGGAGTGTCTACTAACTAGATGGGACTTGTAACAAGCAAAATTGTCTTCTCATGTTAGTAATGTTCCCTAAGATCAAAGAAATCCTTAAGGAAGAACTAGAGCATAAATGGAATAATATTTACCAAACGTTTTCCAAGTAGTCTTAAACTATAATTTGTTATTGTGTTTGTGTACACACACAAGGCCTGGGATTGGAGGACCAGACAAGTAGAAGCTATAAATATCATTCTCCAGCCATAGAAGAGGGAATATCCAACTATTAGAGAAGATTTTAATGATAAAA